GATAGAGTTCTCTTACCATATTGGTAAGCTTGGTTGTTTAAATTTTCCGTTGAAATTTGCTCCTGACCCAACGAAGACGCGATTGGGAAAACAACCGAGTTGTCCATACTACCCGTAACAGTGTACGTTTCAACCTGATCACCATCCATTTCTGGTGTTCGAAGGAGCGCGCCTGGGTTGTGGATTTTAACTGGGGGGTCAGTCTGGTGTACACTGGGGGTTGTTAACTCGGCGGCGACAACCTCGGAATCCGCATCAACCTCGACCAAAGTCTCTGTGATCGGCACACTATCAGATGATTCAAGGCTGGGCGCTAAAGACATCTCCTGCCTTAGTTCTTTCTGAGATTCCAATGGCATTTGCTGAAATAGTTCTTTCTGAAAAAAATTAGCGGTCTTTATGAAAGAAGTTAGATCCTGTTCTGTGAGCTATTAATGCATAATCCCTGCTTTACAAAATTTTATTAAAAAATTCCGCAATCGGGTAGGTTTGTTTTAATTCCCCACAACTTCATTTCATTAAAAAACGTCGGTAATCCCGAATAAATGATGAGACAGACTGGTGCCTGTGGTCAGAAACGACGACAATGTCTCAAAACCCAACCTATGCTCATTGCCTCAGAAACCAAGCGCCAAGGAGGCAGTTAGTTCATTGAAATCTTCGATGACTGCCATGTCTTGAAGATGGTAACGGGGACTTGTGCGTGAATCGGATTACAGGTAGATAGATTCGGGGGAAATTGACCTCAATTACTTTTCCACCCATTATGTCAAATGAAGAGCTTTAAGTAGAGACGCATGCTAGTGGTTTTATACGTTTTGACAGCAGTGACATCGAAAACAGAAGAACTTGTAGACGCCTGGAACGGCTAGCAGGTTCATAATGAAATTATGGTAATAATTCGTCGTGGGGTCTTCGAAAAGTCCTTATGTATTACAACCACATACTTAAAAATTTTAAGTAGGCTGAATTACCCACAACCTACCAGTTTTTTGCACGCCAGCCGTCGATCCAGCAGGGACTGAATGATGGCATTGAACTGCAGAGGGGTCCTCGGGAGGCCATCGCATACAATAACCGCTTAATTCAGTATACTAAGCAAAACTGGCTTTTCAAATTACCCATCAGAATAATCGCCTACTTGCAAATTTTAAGTAGGATGAATTTCCACAATCTTCTACCCTCTTCACTCGTTCACCTTTACTCTGGTTGAGGTTGGTGGCTCTACTAGAAAATGTACCGCAACGATCTCGCCCGAGGTCAGGGCACACTCCCACGACAAACGCGCCCCCG